TTAAAATATGATTGAGTTCGTCAATTGTGAGACTTTCAAGACAAGGATATGCTAGATGCGATGCCTGCTTAAAAAGGCCCCAATTAGCGGGCGGGCGTGTATGAATTAAAGGAGGGGCTACGCTACAGCTTAAAAGAGTAGGAAAATGATCGCTTCCACGAGGATTAGAATCCACACTCCAGGAAAAAACTGGAAGTAAAATAGCAGAACCAATTGAAAGGTCGATGGGAGTGGATGACAAAGATGATGGACTAAAATAGGTTGGCTGGCCCGTGTTAAAAAGACAGAGACTTCGTGTGGTTAAAACTGACTCAACAATTTTTCCACTGACATCTTGACGTGTGCTCCCCCATAAAGGGTTGTGACAATTAAAATCGCCCATCAAAAGGAAAGGCTCTGGAAGCTGGTCTAACAGCGAGTTAAAATCTGAACATTTCAAGGTGAAAGAAGGTGGTAAATATATATAGCATACTGTCAGAGCTTTATGTTGCATGAAAAAAACTGCCACTGCTTCAAGTGGTGTGGAGAGTGGAACCTCAGTGCAGCCTATATGGCTAGGACTGGCCTAGCCATATATGAGCTATTTTCGCGCGCGCACTCCAACAAGCGTCTTTCTGCAAGAGCCTACATGAGAACACAAACAAAGAAGACGATTAAGAAACCTGCGACTCCGCGTAGCCGGAGTCGCAGGAACGTCTCTCGGGAGGACCACCGCAACTCCACCAGAAGAATTGCCAGAGCCCGGGCGATCCCTCCGGAAAACCTGGTAACGTCTCAGAAAATTAGAGTGACTGGGACTCAAATGAGTCTCTTGCAAGCACAGCGCTCGTGGCTTGTACTCCTCCAGAAGATGCTCGACATCGTCCAGGTTTCTTAGAAGGCCACGGCAGTTCCACTGTACGAGTATTGAAGCCATTTTAGGGACAAAAAACCGGAGCAGATGGAAAGGTGAGTCAGTTGTTTCACTTTGGAGGAATTAAAGGTTTTTTTTTATTTTTGTTTCTTAGTAGTCTGCCACTCCATCTCGTCCTGGTCAGAACCCGGAGTCGAAGAGGGGGCAGACAAGGCAGCGCTAGTGTTTTCCTGAGCCTTGCAGGCAGACTTGCCTGCCGGCCTGGGAGGGTCCGTGCCGCGAGGCCCCGATCCGCGGCTACGACCAGAATTGGGTGGAAGGGTGGTTGATGAACTGGGGAGGCGTTCTTCCCCATCCATCTGTTCCACCTCGTATCCCGACAAGGGAGCTGCATGCGACCCATACAGCTCCTTGGTTCCTGGCTGTCTCTCCAGAGACTGAGGCTGAGGAACTTGCTTTTTCTCCTCCATAGGGGTGCGGCCTGTGTTGACAGGTACAGCCAGTGCTGGCCTGTCCTGAGCAGAGGAGTCAGCTGGAGCGCCCTCTCCGCGAGAAGGGTGAGCCCGCTGTCCCCTTGCCACCGTCTTGAAAGGGAGGGCGGGCACGGCTATCGCCGGCCCGTCCTTGCCCAGGGGAGCAGCATGCTGCCTCTGTTGTGGGGATGGGGCCTTTAGGTCGGCAACCAAGATCTCAGAAGAGACCTGAGTGGCCTTTGTCTCCGAGCGTGGTGCAGGGCCCCTGCGCACCACCTCGGCATAACCTCCCTTAGAAAGGAAGGAAAAGCGCTTTTTTGCATCTGCGTACGACAGGTTTTCTTTAACCTTAATTGCGAGGATGTCCTTCTCTTGCTTCCAGAGGGGGCAGCTTCGGTAGTAGGCAGGATGTGGTCCTCTGCAATTTGCGCAGAGTGCCTCTGTCTCGCAACCATCAGACACGTGACCCTCATTTCCACACTTGGCACATGTCTCCTTCACACGACAGCTGCGTGATCTGTGGCCAAAGCGCTGGCAACGGAAACACCGCTGGGGGTTGGGGATGTATGGGCGGATGCGACAGTTGAGGTAACCGGCTTTGACCGTCTCTGGGAGTGCCCGTCTTTCAAAAGTGAGAATAACATGTTTTGAAGGGATATTCTCACCATTCTTGCGGAACACTATACGTCTGACATCGACGACACCTGAACTTTTTAGTCCCTCAAGAAGTTCATCTTCACTGGTGTAAAGAAAGGCTTCTTCAGACAGGACACCACGGACCGTGTTTAGTGTACGGTGAGGGCTCACCGACACCTCCACGTCCGCAATGTTGGTCAGTCTGAGAAGCGCTTCGCTTTGCTTTTTAGTGTTCACCTCAACAAGAAGGTCTTCCGAGTGCAGTTTCTTAGCCTTGTAAGAAAATCCAACAAGGTTTTCTAGCACTTTGGCAACAATAAAAGGTGACATCTTTGCTACAGGTTTTCGCTCGTCATGTCAGTGAATAACAAAAAAACTTTGAAAATGTTTCGACAGTTTCTTTTTCAATGGTCTGTGGTTCTGGACGCTGCCTCTTAGAGGTTCGTCCCGAACCGGGTTTAGGATTTGCGGAAGCCATGAAAGGCGGAGGATGTTCAGAAACTGTGGCGCACCACCCACCACCGAGCCCATTAAGGGGGTAGGTAGCACCCCATAGCAAGTATGGCTTGGCTGGGTATGCTACACTACCAGTGCTACCAAGTAACTATAAACAAGTGTGGTTCGAGAAAGATATCTGTCTCCACCCAAGGTTAGCCCTTGCCGCCAAAGAAGGAGAGAATGAAAATGAGAAGAGCAGAGAAAGGAGAAAAAAGGGAGGGGATAGTAGAAGAAAAGGCGACTGACTGAATCATCCTGGTCGGGCCAAGCCAGGACACCCGTCTACGGGAAGCGGGGGCCGAAGTGGTGTATTGCCTCGCCCGGGGGGCCCCGAAGGGTCCAAACCTACCCCGGGCTCGGCTCAACCACCAGTATGCCCTTTTCCCCGGACACGGGAAGGCCACGCACAGCCAGACGTGGGCGGGCGAACCCGCATGGCTCGGGGTCCGTGGAGACGCCACTCTCCAAACACCTGCTTTCACAGGTGCCCCTTGCGGGGACGGGGGCGCGGGTCGTTCGGGTGGAACCCGCGTAGCCGGAGTCGTCGGTATGAGAATCGGCGGTAGGTGTGGTCCGCTTCCCCGCAATGAAAGCACAGTGGGCGCCGGTCGGGCGTTCGCCACACGTCGGTCTTGCGGGCTGGGCGAGGCTCCGGGCAGGCGTACTGGACCTGGTTGTCGTGGCGTCGGTCGTGCTGCGGCGCAGGAGCCTGACGTCTGGGCGGCGCGACATAGGTGCGACGAGGAGGCGGTGGCCGTCGGGCCACTGCGGCGTAACTCAACGTCGGTGGTTCCGGAACGGTGCTAACGAGAACCTCAGGCTGCAGCGCTTGCTGGACTTCTTCCCTGACAATCTCGGCGATTGAGGGCGAAGCTGGGCTTGCGGCGGCAGGTAGAAGCTTCTTGATCTCCTCCCGGACGACGTCCCAGATTATCGCGTGGATGTGCGTGGTGTTGCTGCCGGAAGAAGAAAAGGAACGGACGCCGGGATCTCGGTGATAGTGGGCGGCTCGTGCTTGAAGGGCACGTTTGATGTTGGTGGCCTCCGTCATGAAGCCTTCGACTGTGGTAGGCGGGCTTCGCACAAGACCACCGAAAATGTTCTCCTTCCCGCCGCGCATCAAGGCTTTGAGCTTCTTTGCTTCGGATGCTTCAGGATCGGCGCGGTTGCTCAGTCGCAGGACGTCTTCCACGAAGCTAACGACGCTCTCGTCAGGGCCTTGGATCCTCGCTTGAAGAAGTTCTTCGGCGCGGTCTTTTCGTTGTTGGTTCGTGAATGTTCTTTGCAACTCAGCTTTGAGTTGCTCCCAGGAAGTGATCGAAGCTTCGTGGTTCACGAACCAGTTCCGGGCGGTTGCTTCCAAGGCGAAGTACGCATTCTGTAGACACTGTTCTGGTGTCCACCCGTTATGACGGGCCACTCGTTCGTACTGCTGGACCCAGTCGTCGATGTCTTCGTGGTTTTCGCCGTGGAAGGGAGCGGTGTCCGAGCAACGACGGGTAGGTAGACGACGGCAGGAGCGGCGGGGTTCTGCGACTGGTTGGCCATCGTCGTCTTCTTCGGCTTGGACTTGTCCAGCAGCAAACCGTACTCAGGATCCTCTCCCTTGGTGCGGCGGCTGGTCCGAGTTTCAGGTTCCGCGGTGAGTGGTCTTCTCACCGAGCCGGGAAACGGACTTGCACTGCGGGCCCTTGGAGGGGAACGCTGCACGGGCATGCGGTACCCCGCACCTCCACCAAAATGTTACGGGTGGTGACCAAAAACCCATAAATAAACAGGAAGAAATAAAAGTTTAAAGTGGCGAACTTGTGCCAAAACTAAAAGGGTACAAAAGATAATAACAGAGCGTCGCGGGCGTCGAAGTCGGCGTAACAGCAGAGTCGAACGCTGAGGCGAGACTGACTGCAGATCAGCACGCGGAGTCCCTTATGTACGAGCGTTGGGTTCTGTTCTGGAACAATCGGCCTATTTTGTTCGGCGACTGGAACATTCGGAACTCGATCATACGAGAATATTCTCGAACACACCAGAACGCAATGTTGAAAGAACAAATAAAAGAGCTTTCCACTGACTGGAATCGAACCCAGATTTTCCGCGCGACAGTCAAGCACGGTAACCACTCGGCCACGCACGCGGTCGCTCGCCGACGAGCGTGGCAATATATTATGCTCCAACTCACGCACGCACACAGGCACACAAATAAATACACACCCATACACAAGTACCAACGCACGCACGCCCACGCGCCCGCACTCACACACAGACGCACGCGCGCACGCATGCATACACCGACACGCGCGAACACGCAATTACGCAAGAAACTGACTCGCACGCACAAACACACACACCTACATGCACGCAAATACATGCGTACCACAAATACACGCCCCCCCAACACACACACGCACGCACACGCGCGCGCGAGTGTGCTCACAAAGTTTTGAGATTGGCGAGTCCTAGCTAGAACCTGGACAGACCACAGTAATCTCAAGTGCGCGAATAGTTTATTGCGCGTTTCATAGTGATTTCTTTATTTGGAGTCACGTGTCACTATCCGTTGGAACTGTGCTAACTGCGCTCCTTTGTTGCGGCAGGTTGACGCACACTTGCTGAAGACATACCTGTTGAGAAGGCAGAAAACGAGAGGTTTGGCATATTTCACAAACGCAGCTCCTTTAAACAATATTTACGAAATGAAATCACGAAGAAATACAGTTCTTACGCGTCGTCTGGGAAAGTTTACATTCAGTTCCTCATTAAGATATATAGACGTATTCTAGACGTCTCAGATCACAAGATTTCACAAATTAGGTGGAGCAAGAACACTTTCAGAGACTCAGCCCACGGAACTGTGGAAGAGATAATGGATAATCAGTTTTACCTAAAATTGGAGACATGTTGCAAGGTGCTTTGTATTACCGCAGTATATAACAAATAATTGGGGTGAAACCTTGTGGAAAAGTGCACATTAAATTGAACGCTTTCGTAGCATTTCAACAGCATCAACAAATAGAGCTGGGACGAATGCACTCATTAACTGGGCAACCGACATTCAAGCAGTCTATACTGCATCAATAGTAGTTCAAGTTCAAATTATAGTAATTAGAAAAACAATACTTCTTCCTATATTGTCTGCAGAAAGCACATTTCAATTTATTTGCATTTGTTAAGCAGCCCTGTATTAGAAATAATTCCGCCAGTTCACAAGGTGACCTTGCAAGTGAAACCGGCGCACTTAATACGAAAATACCCTGCTTTTTGGGGGCATACCCCCATCTCAATCCACGAAAATACAATGGCTAAGTAAGGACAGGTTTTACGTAACAGAAATGAGTGTGTGCGCGTAAGTCTCGTCGTTTTCGCCTTTTGATTGCGGAGGCTGGCAAGCGACATCCATCGGCATGCATCACTCGACTATGGGTCGTTCTTTTTTTTTCCTTTTTTTTTCTGGGTGGGAGGAGGGCGGTGGTTTTGTGTGCGCGCCGCAGCTTGTAATATTTATATTTCACAAAAAAAAAAAAGGAGAAAAGAGGTAGCGGGAAAGCTTCTGTTGCAGATGGACTTGGACTGCACGTCCCTTTAAAGTTATGTGTTAGATCAGGGCATCATGGAAATACAAAGTGCAATATACAAATTATAAAGTATCTTGCACATTAGTTTTGCTTAAAGCAGTACAAAACACAAGAAATAAAGACTCTATATATATTTCTTTTATCTCACTCCTAGATCTTCGTTTTTATTCAAGAACGATATCACTCTGCACCAAGTGCTCTTGCGTCCTTTTTTTTTTTAATATGATAGGGGTGTTTTGAAGGCTGGTATGGTATTCGATTCTATTAAGCGAAGAATAATCGAGGTAATTGAAAGGTTGCTTGGCGTAGTTGGTTCTTATTTTCGGTGTTTTCCGGGTGTTAAGTTTTTCCCCCATATTCAATATGAGATAAGGCTTTTCGGATTTAGGTGCAGCTAGTCTTTTTATATAAACAGGAACAATTAAATTAATGCGTTTTGTCAGCTTTTAATGACGCCTTTTTTAAGTGTGTGTTTGTACGTAGGTAATGCCGGTGCCCCCGAAAGTAAAAATATACGAAGTAATCATTTCTTAAGTCTATTATTTTGTTGTAGTTCACCTTGCTTGTTGTACCTCGCACTATTACGCCATATGACATTCTTGAATCGCATAACGAATAATAGAGTAATTTATTTAAACAAACTGGGAGAAGTTTACGAATTTTGTGTACGCATCCTATCGCTTTTGGTTATTCAAAGCAGTGCTTGTGTATGCGTCGACAAGTTAAAATTTTCAAAAACCATATGCCTATAAATACTTACTCTTTGACGTGTTCTAAAGACACTCCATAAAAGTGAATAGAAATGGGATATTTTTTTATTGTAATTTGGGCTGAATAGCATGTTTCAAGTGTTCTTTTAGATTGTGCGCCTTAAAGAATGCCTTCGTATTATGTACGCACATTATTTATTCTATGGAGCCTTGTATGGTTTGCGTATTACCGCGTGCATAACCGAGAATGAGCGCTTCTCCGACTTCTAGAAGATACGGGCCTACACTTATTCGAGGGTGATTCCACGTCAGTTCATGCAATGGTGGTCCGGGTCATAATTTTGATATTTTTGTTAAAAATATATATGAAATCCATGTTCTTGGGAGGAACGTGAACGTCGTAACGTTTTTTTTCGCTGAGATATAAAATAGAGAAGCTCGAGGCGTGGAAATTGAGAAGATTTCGCTATGCTACTTTGCACAGTCGTCATTTTCTCATCGAAGCTTTCACGTTACCATAACTTTCCAAATAAATTTCACAAGAGATATACAACACATACCCAAAAAGGTAAAAATATCAATAACATATTTCAATGCAAACAAAAAAGTCAAACATGGCATAAAAACACGTTTTAGAGACATATTCACCATTTTTTTTGGCAAATAAACTATCTTCTATAATACTTCACAAAACATATGAAAATGCGCGCTTTTGAATTATCTTTACGAATGTATAAAGATAATATGCCCACCCTTAATTTTCTTATTGTTATTAACGCGGAAATGCGGCTGATTTCACAAAATATGTCTAGAGTGGGCATCAATATTTAGAAAACTCCATCTTTTATTTTTTTTTATACTCCCCTTGGCAGTTTGCAGTGACATGAACTGACCTGTGATGGCAAAACATTGAGTAACATATGACCTCCGAACGGGAAAAGCTGCGACAAAGCTTCACTCGGAGCGAGCCGACATCTCGTTATAGCGGCTTTGTCGCATAACGTCCCCTTCATGAAAGCGTCAAAAGCTGGAAAGCGGGACTCTGTCGTAGAGAGCGGAAAGTCGTGCTGTTCCGAGCATTGCTTTATCGTTTTGTGACTATACCTCCCCCCCCCCCCCTCCCCCCTTCCCCCGCCCTGCCCTCTTCTTCCCGCCCCTTAACACGAGCAAGAAACGCCTGCGAACGTCGCTGCTTGCGGTAGTTAGTAATCGTAAGCACATCACATTGCCTTGAAACCCAAAGTTGTGAAGAGTCAATTACGGCAAAATAAGGCGAGAGTAGTTGTAAGGGAAAATATGCATGTCAGTTGGTCAGGAAACATTTTAATCTAAACCCATAGACGAGGAAAAACAAAAACAACGGACAGTGCGAAACGAACTCAACTCTCAAACGCCGCTGAACTTATTCACAAGAAGAACGACAATAAATGCATGTCCACGCGGAAAGAAATAAAATAGGGAAGATCAAGACATGCGACAGCAAAGACTTGACCGAACCTAAACAGACAAACTAAATTACTCCAAGGTTAAGGACAGCAACGGGAACGGGCACCTCTCCCAAGGACCTGAACAGATGGGCTGCACCACGCTATGCGAACCGACCGAGACCGAACCCCTAAACCCCTCTTCTATTTTACTGCCGTAACCCCCTTCCCCAACACACATACACACACACACACACACACACAAAGTACACTCCAACACCGAAAACCCCAAAAACATTACAATATAAAAAACTTTTAGAAGGTAAATAAAAAAGAAAAAAAGGCGGCTGGCTATTGCTATGCTTACAGGAGACTCGGTGTCTTTGGTGCTCAATAAGCGGTACTACAAACAAACAATACCAGCTTAACCATGCGCGACGCACCGATTATATCTACAATGGAAGACAGAAGTTAATAACCACAAGGACATTTTCTTTCCAAACTCTGACCAAATATTCGGAGCCGGGAGAGAGGAATTCAGAACCTCTCAAATAGGCGTTTGCGAGGACGTTTGAAGTTCTGTCATTTACGAAGCGAGTAAGAGTCTAGAGTCAAATCGAACAGCCATGGCCCAACGATTCAGCACCGTGGGATTGTTCTGTGTGGACTATCTACGGAGACACAAGAAGAAAGTGTATAGCGATAAGCACCTCGTATCGGTAGGGAGCCTCAACAAAGTGCGGTTGGAAAAGATACTGGCTCCACGGACAGTGAACGAATCTGACCTTTTATGCCAACATTGCTACAAATACCTCCAGAATGAGATTGCTTCTCCTCACAACGTGAGTACATCAGACTCTTCTTTCCGGGACTCTGATGAAGTTCTGGCTGAAGTGAGTCAAGAATTGTGTGCTGCTAGTCCGTCGGTAACTCCATATAAACCACGTAAAACCATTAAAAAAAAAAAGGCGCGAAGCATATTTGAAGAAAAAACAAGCTCAAGTGAGTTCTTCTATTAGAAGAAAGCTGTCAGGTGTTTATGGATGAAAACCGGCGACGACAGTTGTGAGCACTCCGCGGAGTGGTTTGAAGCGTTCCGTGAAGCGCTGAAGGCATGCAGTTCCCACCAGGAACGGAAGCGATTGCGCACGCTTCTGCCACCAAGCATCTCGAAAAAAGAAAAATTGCGTCTGGTGCCAGAAGCGACTGCCTACATGATTGATCAAACAAGAAAACTGAAGCGTAAAGGGGGTGTATGGGCAACCCCTGATCCCTACATGGGGGAAAAGGCGAGTGCAGAAGACGTGAGAGTTGCACTTGAGTTCTACACACGCGACGACCTCGCATGCTCTATTCAAAGCCCCAACAAAAAGGACGTCGTCAAAGCCATGATCAACGACAACAAGACCAAAGTCGTAAAAAGGGTTATGACCCGCTCTATTAAGGAAGTTTACCAGCTGTTTAGGAAGGACCATCCCCATCGAGAACTAGGCATCTCCAAGTTGTATTCCCTACGACCAAAATGGGTAAAAAAGAGTCCCGACCATGAGGTGTGCGCTTGCATATATTGCGTCAATATTCAGTTGCTTTTAGCGGCAATAACAAATGCCTCACAGGGGACATTTACTGAAGACGACTTCAAGCGAATCTACCTCTGCAGCGCTCCACAAAACGATTGCTTCCTGCGTCGTTGCGAAAAGTGCCCAAAAATGCAGAGCATCTCGCTGCAGTCGCTCCATCTCGACGAAGACGAAGAGATCTGTTACGCGTTATGGGACGCCGGCGAACTCGTCAAAAAGGTTATGGACACTTCCGCTTTTCTAAAGGAACTGGAGTCATGGAGCGAAAAGTGTATGAGGCATTCTTAGATCCATGACCTTCAACGAAGCCTGATACGTGACACAAGAACCGCCTT